GAGTAATACGATGTGGTTTGACAACAGGCCCACTTCACAGTTTATAATCGGATGGGGGACATCGAGAAATATACTCTGTTACATGTATCAAATATTACGTCAAACGGCAACATGCATTTGGGTTGCCACCACTTGGGTACCCAGTTAATCTCCGCTCACTTTAAGAAATCTTCTCGGCAACGTCTTTGTGTCAGTATCACCGGCTGGCAACTTGTCATGGTGTTGCAATATTACAGACTTGATCTGGACAGATTCAGCCGTTTTGCGGGCGCTAGTTGCAATGAGGAAATACCACGTAAAATGCGCCTCGTATGAGTTGGAGATTTTTTTCAAACTTCGACAATTCCTGTACTTGATTAACCTTTTTGATTTCTTGGGAAATATTATATATCAACCATGGCTGACTTGTTGATATTTTTGCTTCTGTATCCTTAGTTCACATTTAGCTTTTATATCCATCAAAGGCGTCGTACATGGCTGATTGGTCAACATCATAGCTTAAAAGCACAATATCTAGGGACATTTAACAAGTTTGATTAGTATACATTAGAATTTTGCATTGACCCATTAATTGGCGAATTAAATGATCAGATTACCCTAGTGGCTTGTTCCCGATTTATGATCTAGAGCTCAAATTTCTCAAAGGGTCAAGGTAATTCAATGGTGTATAGGGCTCACCGTGGGGTACATTACCAGTACCATCGTCCCGGCAAGGTTTTTACTAGTACTTCAGAGTAATTTCGCATAGATATGGCTAATGTTAGGACGATAAAGATAGAAAGAGATTGAAATTATTAGCTTGGCTGTACCATCAAACTAAAAGTTTGACGGCCGCAATCAATCTTTCCTTCGCATCGGCGTCCGTACCCACGATGGCAAACAAGAGCGCAGTTATCTTAGTTATCTTAGGGAGTCGTAACTTCTACCACTCACATTTCCAACGAGGATGATACAGGGTATTCCGGGACATTGATGGCTAAAATCGCAAAGACGTTGCCTATGAATGACAGTTAAGTATTAAAAAATTTGCGCAATCCGGTGCGTTTTGACATCAGACGAAGATTACGATGACCACGAGTGCTATGGAAGAATTAGATACACTATTTCACATTTACAATTGCCCGACACAGCACAATCGCGTGGCGATGACGCATAAAGTTCACGGCTTGAAGATAGAAAGTAGTTTTAGCGTGTTGGAACATCTCGACACTTTTGACGAGCAAGATGTGGGTCTCCAGACGATGATAAAGTCAGTTATCAAGTTGTGGTGCTCTCAGCAGTCGGACATCGAAAAGTGATAAAAAAATCAGCGATTGTGGGAAATGCGAAGGGCGCAACAGCGAATGAAATGAAGAAGAAGCCGCTCATAAATTTGAGAAACGGCGCAGGAGGACGTTACGGATAGAGCGTTACGCGTAAACTAAAGTGCGGGAAGCTCAAAGGCAGCCGATTTGACGTTTAAAAAGGTGGCTTTCATCAAATAACAACAAATTTATTCGTAAATTTTAAATTGTGACCAGATTAGTCATCCAAAGCGAAAATGGCCAGCCGGACGTTATTATTATAATAATATCGTCAACATTGCTGACACATCTTCCGGCTGGCCATTTTCGCTTCGGTATTAGCGGTGAGCGAAGAACAAACGGCAGGGTTTCTTATCGACAGTAGCACCACATCCCATATTTCCCAGCATAATTAGGACTTGTTCGAATACAAGGACCTTAATATCTGCATTAAAGTATCAATTGCACATGGCAAAAATGTACAATTTAAAAAAAAGCACTATGAGAATGACCGGGTTGGGTGAAAAGGTAATTCGCATGATTAGAGATTTATATATCCCAGGACTGGACAGAAGATTCTTTGTGGGTGGCAAGCTTGCGGAACGCGGTATAAGTGTGGAGGCTTCGCGACGGTCGTGTGTGATCTGGATCAAAAATAAGCGAGCGCTCCGGGCTCAAGAATTGGTAAAGAGTACATGCTCGACTATAAGCATGTGAGTGAAATATTGCAGGGGTAGCAATTTGTGGGAGCTTTGGCATACTCGCATTGCAAATTTAAATTATGATACTTTCCTAAATACACAGCGTACGATCAAAGATATACCCGATTATGAAGCAAGAATCAGAAAAATTATGTGCTGGATGTTTGAAGCGAAGTAGACAGTCATGGCATTCCTCTCACGTTCGATGACAAAGATGATATATGTGCTGGAATGTGGGCATATAAAGTGTTGAAACCCATGCGGACTCCCTCGAAGAGAGGTGCAAAATATATTTTCACTTTTTAAGATTTGTTGCAATTTCCTTGGTTAAGCAAGCGTGAAGTAATTGGCATGCTCAAGTAATTCACAACTTTTTACGAAGATCAGTGGTGTATTTTTCTAAGTTGCTTGATATCCGATTACTGAATAGCATTTGTGAACGAAGCGACGGTCGTTATATGTCTTCGGATCGGCATCATTAGCCAACGTTCCGCTCCATACAGCCCTCAACAATATGCGGTGGTGAAGCGCATATGCCGGACTATCATGATAATGATCTTCGATATGCGTTACATTTAAAACATTGGGACTGATTAATCGGCGGACACAGTAAACACATCAGTTTATTTATTTGATGAATCGAATTTGGAAATGAGGTATTGAAGGATGTACTTTCGCGTGTTTATGCTGCTATTAACGATGCAAAGAGAACAAGCTCAAACCCAGGAGCTTCAAATGCATGTTTATCGGTTATGCAGGGTTTCCGCGTGTTCAACTTGGAAAATATCAAGGGAAGAATGAACCATCCTGTTACGTTGAACGAGCGTGAAGTATGCAACTTTTATGACACGCATGAGCGATTGCACGAAGCGAACGTTGATTTATAATGTATAAAACCTAGCTGATCGACAGCCACATTTATGAGACAAGGCAAAGAATCTTTCACAGACGTCAAATGGACGACATTAATTGTACATCAATTGTCAGTCGACAGCAGCGGATGCCTTCTGATTGTTTTATCAAAAGGAGTTGGAGATAGCAGAGTATTATAAACCGAGCCTTTGCTAAATATGCGTCAAGAAGATCGTTAAGTATTTTGGCCTGATGTGGAGCGAGCAAGACGAAGATATGAGCCAATGCTTATGCTATGGAACAGGTGAAAAGACGAAGAGGCAAGAGAAGAAAGTGATGATCCATCGACACCAAAACGTGCCAGGATTGACGAAGATAAATTCATTGCCGAAGCTGTCTTGCTTACACGGTGAAAAGATATATTCACCGAATTCATATGCCCGAGCATTGGCATGCGGCGATGCGGCGAAGTGGCGTGAAATTATCGAAGCTGAGCTTCGCTCCCATAAGCAAAAAAACCATGGATATTAAATCAAACGGAAACAATCGATTTTCTGGGTCATAATGGGTCTATGCCAAGAAGCGTGACTAAAATGGCACTGGTGTGCGCTACAAGGCAAGGCTTCTCGCGAAGGAGGTCAAGCATACTTATGCAATCGATTTCGTAAAACATATACTCTGTTTGCTAACATAAATTGAGTTAGAATGAATCTTGCGGAGTGTGCTGAATGCGACTCACAAATGAAACAGCTGGTTGTCATGATTGCTTTTCTGATCCGTTTTTTGCAAACAACGTTTATATCGAAGTTACACAAGGTGATGACAATGCTACTGGATACTTAAGTCAGCCGAAAAGGGTATCTGCCTGCTGTACATATCTACATACACTCGACCGGATTCTGCATAAATGTGTATGTCACAAGAACTTCGGACTGCAGCAATGAAAGTTAGTTATTCGCGTACTAAGCCACCTGGAGAATTCACGCTCAACCGGTATCGTCTACCAAGGCATGGGTATCATTGCAGTGAAGACATATTTAGATGCTGATTGGGCCGGAAACACCGATAAGAGACGTTTGATTTCTGGAATTTTGATCATTTTACTATGCGCCAGCGGTGTTGAAGTCAAATACCACCAACCATTGAACTCAGCTTGGTAGAGGCTGACCATCGGGCTCTCAACTATTTCAATAGAGAAGTTCTTTGAACGCGTGTGATGCATTAAGTATGGGTCTCGAGCAAATTCGAGGCATCCAAGCATGGGAAGACTACCAAGAAGCAACCGCTTTAGTCAAAACGCCGGACAAGCATGTAGATGTAAGTTAGCACTCATCCGCAACAAGCAAAGAAGGAATTTTGACGATCTAATATATTGGCACAAAGCGTCAGTTCACATATATGCTGACAAAGGAACTTGAAACGAAGATGTTTGCATTTATACGCAAGGCATCTAATTTCAGGACCAAGACAATGCCAAAGATCAATAAGCATTTACGGCAAGTGAGAGTGTTGATATGATGGCGCTCGATACTGTTTAAGAATGATGTTGCGAGTACAAGTCTAATTTACATGGATCAGTATTACATTTTGTTCTTTCAGTTCACAAACTCAATTTAGCCGAGTAGTTAAGGTGCGTTAGCTCCACTTTCATCATCAAGGGTTCGAATTTCTCAAACAGGTCCGAATACAAACACCGCTCGCCCTTTCAATGTTTCACAGACCAGAGTGTTAGTCATTTTGTACAGATACGGCAAAGGACGAGAAAGAAATAGAGGTATGATAAACTTATAAACCCCGGGTTCAGCATCTAATCAACAGTCCTCTTTTGGTACTTAAACATACAATTTCTGTGACCTTA